GGGGACCGAGCGCGGCGGCAGGACCGCTGCTGTCGGGGCGGGGGGAGATGTTGGCTGGATGGAGCCCACGCTGCTACAGGCACCTCCAAGAGTGATGCATTGTCCTGGTGGGCATCACCCGTACGCGGGTGGCTGAGGACGAGCGGAGTGAGCAGCTGGATGGAGCTTGTGTCCCCCCATGGCGATGCAGAGGGGAAGGGTCTTGCTCCAGCCCCCCCACCGCCATCCCTGGCACTCACCCAGGATCTTGCTGATGCTGGAGTTGTGCATGTCAGGGAAGGCCTGCAAAATCTTCCTCCTCTCGTCCTTCGCCCACACCATGAAGGCGTTCATGGGCCGCTTGATGTGGTTGTTGTTCCTGGACTCGGGGAAGTGCCGTGAGCCTGCGAGGGAGACCCCGGCCGAGGTCAGGAGCCAGAGGAAGGAGCAAGCCCGGGGTCACATCGTAGTGCTCTCAGCCATCCTTACCGTCCATCTCACAGGTCAGCAGAGCCTCGTCCAGCCGGTGGGCAGGGGTCTCCTCCATCCGCTCCTTCACTGGGGAAGATTCAATCCCGACGTGGTCCTGCAGGAGATCGAGGAGTCAGGAACCAGCTCCAAGCCAGGGACCCCACCCACAGATGGAGACCCGGCTCTGGCCACTGATGGTGGGGTCGGCGATGGGGCTGGTGACCACCCGGCAGGCGTCCCTCACCTTGCGGTAGGGGCTGCTTAGCGATCCCGCTGTGGCCGTGCAGCAGCTGCCGCGCGTCCTGGATGGCTTTGGTGATGGCATCGCCTTCGCCCAGGAACCCTGGCACGACACCAGCATGGGCACCTATCAGCACCAGCGCCCACTCCTCTGACATCCCATGGCACCCCATCCCACCCCGGCAATCACAACCGCGTGCCCCAAGCAGGTGGCACAGAGCAGCAGATGCCCACCCCAGGAAGGAGGGACCCCAGAGAGCAGCGATGTCCCCCAGCTCTGGGAGGTGGCCAGGGGAGGACATGGGACCTCAGTGAGGGCACTTGGGAACCCACCCAGAGGGAGGTTGGACGGGCTGGTCTGCAGGTCCCTGGTGGCCCCGTGGCTCGGCGTGAGGGACTGGCAGCTGGTGATCTTCAAACCGGGTGAGCTGGAGGCACTGGGGAGGTCAGAACCTTTGGGTTTGGCTGTCAGGTTCAGTGGCTGAGAGGTCTCCTGCGGCAGAAGGGAGCAGGGGGTGAAGCACAGACCCTGCAGCACCCCAGCCCAGGGGATGGAGGTGCTTTGGGGCTGTACCTGCATCTGGAGGTGGCCCGAGCCGGCGGGTCTCTTCAGCGTGGGAGGAGGGGGGCTGTGCAGCAGCTGAACCGGGTAATCCACTGTGGGGAGCAGAGGGAGAGGGGTTGGGGGACAGGGCCACCCCACAGGGCTGGGGCAGCCCTGGGGGACCCCGCTCACCTGGTTTGCAGGGGATGGGCTGGATGGGCAGCGCTAACTGGGAGTCGGGAGTGACGGGGAGAGGCTGGTGGCTGGGGGTGAAGGCAGGAATCATGACGTAGGGCATGTTGACCTGCTGGAGGGAAGAGGGGGAGAGAAGCTGAGAGACCAGATAACGGCTGCTGGGCACCGCGGGCAGGTGCCATCCCCTTGCTCGGCGCCAGGAGGGAACACAAGCCTGGCACACAAGAGGGATGCAATCACCCAGCCCAGGAAAGGGGACATGGGGAGGTGGACCCCATTTTTACCTGGATCTGTTGCTGCAGCAGGTTGATTTTGTGCTGCTGCTGGATGAGCTGCTGCTGCTGCCTGGCGATCTGGCCGGGGGGGGGCCGGGGGGGTCCGGGGGATCCA